ATCCATCCATCCATCCATCCATCCATCCACCCACCCACCCATCCATCCATCCATTCATCCATCTACTGTATCCAGTAATGATGAAAAGGTAAATTATACACTGTGAAAAGATGAAAAAACTTACTGATGTTTCGGACACTAGTCCTTCATCGGAGTTTGCTCTTTTACTGTTTTTTCATCTTTTCATGGTGTATAATTAACTTTTCATCAGAAAACTGTTTCATGAGAAACACCGACGCAGCTCACACTAGTTTTTAGCTAGTTATCTCTTCTCATCTACTGTATCCTTTAATTCTATTATTTATCATATATTTTTATTCATTTTCATAGTGCCTCAAATCTAAAATTGCCCACTCCACAACACAACCATGTTGTATATGGGAACCTGTCAAATCACAAACCTGTGAAAATGGAAAATTTGTTCGAAGTATCGGCACCGAAACAGAAGACCAATACTTCACAACCAACCATAGAAACGAAGAAATAAATGAATCACCAAGAGCTGAAATAACATTTGAGTATTCTATATCTAAAGACAGATTAAATGGGGATGGAGATAATGGCACAACACTAGAGAGTAGTTGTGCAGACAGTACTGAAAAACCAGTTGAAGTATTTCTAGAAGATCCTTTTGTTTCATCGGGTGATAAGCAAAACTCTTCTAAGCGTATAACTTTAAAGCTCAAAGAAATATCAAGACAAGAGTTTTCTCTAGCTGATAATATTGCTCCTCGAAAGGTGCCTCGAAGAGTTGATGATATCACTTTCCCAAAAAAATCTCTTGCTATTGCTAAGGGGGATTTCGCCACTGGTTCTGCTGAAAGTGGAAATTCATCTGGAAAGCATTTATCTGTGGGACAAAGAAAGTTGGAGCAAAGTTTAGATAAAAAACAGTCTTTCACACCAGGTGTGTTGTCCTCTAGTAAGGCAAGAAATGGAGAGAGTTTGTCCGAGAGTCTGGCAGCTAAAAGACAGAGAAGCTCTGCTTCCTCAAGAAAAAATCCAGAACCAAGAAAGCTTCTAAAGAGATCCAATAGCAATGATCAAAGCACAGAGGAAACGAATGATGATGATATGCAAGAATGTTATGATGAGGAACTGACAGAAACTAGAGTGTTTGGTGATACAGCAGAGGTAAGGAAATTGTTTCGTACAAATAGTACAGAAAAGGTTCCAAATAAAACATAAGGAAGGAAGGAAAGAAAGACCTCACAAGAGGGAGGATACTTTTTTGTTACTCAGAGGGTTGTATAGAGGGCCTGAGCGGGAAAGATGACAGCGTCATAGCAAGCCATCAAAAACTAGGGGGGGGGGGAGAC